ATCCCATGGGCATCAACTCAAGGCCCAGGGGCCAGATTCGGCCCATAGGGTGCTTAGATCTGGCCCATGGGCCCACCCTGGAAACAGCAAAGGATTGGCCTGCAGTGCCTCTGCTAGTGAAAACGGAGCCAGGAAGGCTGTGGGAGGCCCGCCCAAGATCTTTTTTCACTGGCGGAGGCTTGCAGGAGGCAGTTGCTGCCGAAAATGAAGCTCAGAAGCCCATTTTTTGCTGACAGAGCGCTTGGGCACCACAAGATAGGTGCCCCTGACACGAGTGACGTTGAGCTGTCCATGCCCATCCTGGCCACATCCACACCGCCCTCCCTGAGATCAAACACAATCATGATGCAACTCTCAATGAAATTGAGTTTGACACCCCTGCTCTAGCCATTGATCTGAGATTAAAGGAGAACAGCAGAGTAACAACACATTGTTTAATGGAACCATGGGGTACCACACTGCTTACTTACTTCTATGTAGGTTATAGTTCCATTGAGGACTACATGTTGAATATGATTTAACTGGCTGATGAATTGTACTCAATATGTAGCCCTCAAAGAAACTACATCTACGTGGGAGGGGGCAAAGTAAGCAGTGAGTACCCCAATGCTCCATCTGGGGGCCAATACTCTTAAATATCTTCAACATCTTCATAAATGATCTAGATGAGAGAAATATAAGGGGAACTCATCAATTTTTCAGACAACACTAAGCTGGCAGGAATAGCCAACACCCCAGAAGAAAAGCTCATGACAGACTGGAACATTGGGCCCTATGTAACAAAATGAAATTCAACATAGATAAAGTTTTACACTTAGGCAAGAAAAACCAACCATACATGTGAAACTTGGCTTAATGCCAGTAATTGGGACAGGAATCCTGGTGGACAATCACTTAATATAAATTAACAGTGTGTGGCAGCAGCCTAAAAAGCCAACACAGTTCTAGGCTGCATCAATAGAGGGACAGAATCAAGATCATGTGAAGTTCTACTACTGCTTTACAAAGCGAGTAAAGCCTTGGAATATTGCATACAGTTCTGGTCACTATAATATAAAAGGATATTGAAAATCTGGAAAGAGTGCAGAGAAGAGCAACAAGGATGATTACGGGGCGGGAGACTAAAACATACAAAAAACAGTTACAGGGATTAAGTATGTCTAATATAACGAAAAGAAGGACTAGTGAAGACATGATAGCAGTGTTCCAATATTTGAGAGGCTCCTACAAAGACAAGAGAATCAAACTATTTTCCAAAGCACCAAATGACAATACTGCCCCCAACAATCTGGGTCCTCATTTTACCGACCTCGGGAGGATGGATGGCTAAGTCAATCTTGAGCCATTCAGAATCGAACTCCGAGTGAACAGTGAGTTAGCCTGCAGTATTGCATTCTAATCACTGCGCCATCATGGCTTTCAGAAAAAAATTCCTAATGCTGAGAGCAATCAACTAATGGAACAGCTTGCTTTCAGAAGTTGTGGGAGCTCCGTCATTGGAGAGTTTCAAAAAGAGACTGGACAAGCATTTATCTGAAATAATATTGGGTCCCTGCTCAATCAGCAGGTCGGACTAGAAGACCTCCAACGTCCCTTCCAATTCTATTATTCTATGTTCTATTTATGACTTGTATTGATTATCTAGAAGAATTTTTCACAGAGAGATGGATTTTCCTCTCTGCTATAACAGCACCATTGAATCATTCATTGTAACTGTCAGAATATTGAATAATTTGTTTAAGTCTTTTAAACAAGAAATTGCATTATTTTATATGTTCTGCTATACATGAACATAATAAATCATGCCTTTATTTCTCATCCTGAAGCTTGGGCACTTGTAAAAGTACCTTGTCTATGGAAAGCAGAGTCAAAGATTAGGACCTGATTTATTCTAGAAGAATATGTTTTCATAAAATAAGGGTGGCAGCTCAAAGACCACATATAGTATTTTTCAGAGTATAAGACGCACCTTTTTCTCTCAAAAAAGAGGCTGAAAATCTGGGTCTTATACACTGAATACAGCAATTTTTGCCTTCCGAAACACTGCCCCCTACACTAAAATGGCCATACATAGCTTTTAGGAGGTTCCACAGTGCTCCTGGGGGTGGGGGGGCAGAAATGAGCAAAAAAGAGGCCACTTTTGCTCACTTCCCCCCAGGAGCACTCAATAAACCTCCTAAAGGCTATGCATGCGCTTTTTTCTTTACTAAAAACAGGCCCATTTTTGAAAAGTCTACAGAGTACAAAAACTTTTTTTAAAATTTTCCTGTTCAAAATCTTGTTGCGTCTTATACTCCAGTGCATCTTATACTCCGAAAAATATGGTACCTATTCACATCACTGAAATTTAATTGCAAAACACCCAATATTTTCCCCACATTTTTTTAAATAAATAGAACAGGTACATCAAACTTTGGAAAGCCAAAGTAAATCTTTTATTTTTAGGCCCTTAGTGCCCTAGGGGAAAAAATCCAAACTAAATTAAAAATTCTGATGGTTATTTCAGTTTTTATCATGTCATTATGTATTCTACTGGTAGCTGAAAAAAAACTATGTCAGGGATGTCAAGCTGGTGACCCATGGGACAGATACATCAAGCGCAGGCCATATCCAGCCCAGCTCCACGAATGGGAAAAACATCATGAAACATCACCTGCAATGTGACACAGGCTTGACATCTATGATCTGACTAGTAAAAATGATATGCAGCACTTGACTGTGTGACTTTGAAAGAATTTATTTTGTATAGTAGTCTTTATTGTCATTGTACAAAATAAATACAACAAAATTGGTTGTACCAATAAAGGATAATATTTGTAGCTCAGCAGGGTTGAAATGAGTGGCCCTTGATGCTCTCTGAACTTGGTTATTTTCTTGCAGATGTTTCTACCCAAAAAACATCATCATTGATGAAGCCTGCAAGAGAACCACCAAGCTCAGAGAGCACTAAAGACCCAATTACTCAGTTTCTTGACCCATTGGTACAACTAAAGTTTAGGTGAGGGGTCAGCAACCCGCAGTTCTGGAGCCCCATATGGCTCTTTCTTCCCTCTGCTGTGACTCCATTGTCGGTTGGCGCCACAAATTTGAGATGACCTTTCGGTGGGGGTGAGAAAGCATGGTGTGTCAGGAGCAAACTTTATGGCAAGGGGTGGTTTTCTGGTCAGCTCCACAATTAATAGGGGTTTTGGTTATGACAGGTAGAGGAAAAAGGATGACGTGTTAAGAGACCCTATGGTGGGAGAACCAGACTTCCAATCAGCTCCAGAATTGAGTGTTTTGAGTGTTTGGTTGCTGACCCCTAGTTTAGGTGGTGAAAATCTTTCTACCTCCAGTTACATTCAATCAATCGATTTGATTTGGTAAATTACTTGGTTATATCACTACTGGGCAACTGCCCTGCACTATACACCAATATATCCTCAATCAATCTCTATTAGCTTCAGCTGAATAACCTAATAGTTTCCCTGGAAAGCAAATCTCATTGATTTTCTGACATTTCTTGTTGGGGAAATTCTGGAGATTGAAAGACTTATATTGATCTCCATAGATGTTATCTATCTTAAATCAAAACAGTTCATTATGATCCCAGACCAATAGCATCTCCCTTAAAAGTATCTCCCATCATGGCTTGTTTCTCTTATGAAGAACATGATAGCAAAACTCCTAATAAAGGTTTCATGGAACCCATTTACTATTATGAGACATTAGAAGTGGGAGATGTGATTTGGTAATGAAAGAAAGGTTGGTTGGGGACTTGAGACAAACCATTTTATCAGGTTGAAGTTAATGTAGTTCAAGCAAATATATTTATTCAGATCCCCCACATTGGAAAAGCCATAGTGTATAATGACAAGCAAGTTAGGTGTAAGTCTCCTTTCTTGCCATCACTATCACGGAACAAGTCATGAGCAATCATTTTCCTCTCCCAGAAATCACTTGCAAAAGCAGGTGAGCGTTCAAACTAAATGGGCATGGAGTGAATAGCGTAATGGGAATCTATGTATAGGCCAATTTATTTACATTTCATACATGTACACCATCCTATAACACAGATGTAAATGGAGTCTCCCTTCCTCCTACCTTATTCCTAATGGTGTTGTATTAAATCTAACAAATGGCTCAAAACATGGAATAGGCTTTCATATGTGCTTAAAGTTTGATAATAATAAAAAAAATCAACTACAGGGAAGTGGAAAGACAATGTTATATATAGCATAGGAGGTTTTCGTTTTTGTTTTTTGAGTCAATGCTGACTCCTGGTGACTACCCTGACTAGTTATCACATTTTTCTTGGGAAAATTGCTTCCCACTGCATACTTCCTAGGATTGAGAGTGAGTGACTGGCTCAAAGTTACCAAGCTGACTTTGTGTCTAAGGCAGAATGAAAGTTTGGTTTTCCAGTTTCTAGTTTGATGCCTTTAATCATTAAACTAAACTTTCAGAAACTAAACTCTGAGTAACTCTTCATTCTAGAAATCAAGTAGATGATCAGCCAGACTTCTCGAAAATCAGCAGTAAGTCAACTAGTTGCATCATTCTGAAAGGCTTATCAACCAAATTAGTTCCCAATCCTTTCAGGGTTCAGATGTGTAACCCAGTGCCAAATGGTCTCATTTTTCTACAACAAATTACTGTACAATATTTATTACATTTACAAATATATGCCATTTTATCCCTTAACTCTGAATAATCCAGCCTTCTATTTTCCTCATAATAGCCTTGTGAGATGAGTTGGGCTGAAAAATGACTGGCTAAAAGTCATCCGACTTTCATGCCTAAGGGAGGCCTAGAACCCAGTCTCTTGGTTTCTAAGCCAACACTTCAACCACTACACTGGCTCTCTCTATAATATAGATGATATGCACATATTTTTGGAAAGGGAGGACAATACTAATAAAATTATTAACTCTTTGAGCCATTCCTATAGACTTTTGCCCACATCCATTTACATAAAACAAACATGTGAAATTAAAACATGCCAAACATATTCTCTGCTAAATATTTTATTTTATTTGACACAAAAATATAAGCCAAAAGATCCACACAATGAACAAAAAAAAATGCATTAAGTATTAATTTCCTAAACAGCAAGTAAACTGGAGAATACTTGACTGAAAAAAAAATTGCACGTGCCTTCAATTAGTATTGATTGGATAGATTCTCTTGGATTCTTGTCCTTCAGCAATAACTACCATTAAGAGGTTAACTTCTTTCTCTATAGGCATATGGAAAAAAGGCAGTTGCAAACTAGAAAAGATTGGTAGTAAGCCAGAAGCAGGTTTAGACAAAGGAGGTAAAGTAAATCTGCTCTCATTGAAAAGAGAAGGCTATGAGAAAAAGGGTAGGAGGCTAAGGGGAGTGTATTGGGAAGATTGAAGGACAGGTCAGCCAGTGGCATATGCAGCCTGGGACATCAATGACAGCTGAACAGGTAAAAGGGAAGAATGCTGGGAAAACAGGAAATGAGCAAGTGAACACCCAGCCTATGTGGGGAAGCAGGAGAGCAGAAAGCAACACATTCCAATCTAACCGCACTCGTTCTTAAAGAAACTCTAGCATATCTTCAGATTTTGCTTTGGTCATAATTCAGAATCAGAAGAGTCCAAATTTTCCAAATCTACCAAAACATAACATGTGAGACCATTCAGCAGAACTTCCAGAGGAAAATACAAAAAGCATAATCTTCAACCATTCTGCTCCGACATTACAAGATATGGAAGGCAACGCATTCAACAACCCGCAAATCTGACTTTTTAAAAGTTGTTGAAACAATTGGTTCAGAATTAATATTTCTGAGAGAGAATGAGAAAGAAGGTTGAAGGTTCAAGAATCAGTTTGTGCCCATGATTTCGGAACAGAACAGTATCATTATATGCATGCACAACAGCAAACCAAGCTGCTTCCAGCACAGAATCTGAACACCCTGGACAATTACAATTCTACCGTCGTGTTTTTTGTTAAGAGTTCTAGTTAGTAGAACTAAAAGGAAGATGTCACAGTGATATTTTGGGCAAGACAACCCAGGGCATATCCCCACCTGAGGAGGGGGGGAAATCACAGCTTCTACTCCTCATTCAGAAAATGAGTTAATCAGCTGACCTTGGCTCAATGCTATTGATGGTGTCTTCCATCACATAAAAAGCCAGCAGATCAGCTAGAGGGCACTGGAATGGTTGTAAGAGCACCCATCATTATTTCCTCTGTACTGTACTACAGCTCCACGTTATGTGCCATTTGAGGTAGCTATCTCATTGTGTGTAATCTAGTGACAGTTCTTTTTATGGCTGAAACAATTTAATTACAATATTTTTAACATTTGGAAAATTCCTTGAATTTGATAGTTGATAGGTGGTCATGGGTTGGGGTAGACAACAATGGTCTCTCAATGCCCTTAGGCAGAATATTGAAGAGGCTATTCTTCATCTCCCTGGGGGGGGGGTGTCCATATGCAAATGTCTTCGCATGGACCATTTGAAGGCTAGCCTATTATAGGATGAGACATTTACCAGAGGTTTTGGGGTTGGGATTAACAGGCACCTGCTCTTTTTGCTGAGGGGAAGACTGGTCCTCCTGTTCAGATGACGAGGATGTGAGATTATTCTGACTAGGAGGATCATTAGTTAAACTAGCTTCGAAATCAGCATCTGGAGTCTGACAGGCGGTGGACTTTAACAAAACACTAGAAGTATTGGTGGCCTTGGCAGAAACATTGGCATGCTGGCAAGGTATGCTGGTGGTAGAATCTAAAGAAGAAATAGAGCTCGCCATTTTTGTACTTGAAGCAATTATCGTCTCGGTTGTCTGTGTGAAAGCATAAGTCTCAGAAGATAGGGCACTGGAATTAGTGGTGATCCTGCTAGAATAGGCAAACTGGTGGTGTGAACCGGTGGTGGATTCTGGTGACAAAGAAGTGGGGCTTGTTGTTTCCATGTTTGAGATTACAGTAGCAGCTGCCCTGACATACTGCCTTTGCTGAGCGGAAACCTGAGTCTCAGAAAACAAAGGACTAGATTTACAGGTGATCGTAGCAGAAGTGTAGGCAATTTCATCATATGTGTCGGCAGTAAAGTCTAATTGAGAAGATGATGGACTTGCTGCCCTTGTCCTCGAGGATACAGATGACGAAGTGCTAGAATTATTGGTGACCGCAGATGAAGCGTGTAAGGATCCACCGACTGAACAGGCAATGAATGATTCTGTGTTTGAGCTGGTTTCGAGAGAATTCGCATAAGTGGGTGTTCTCTGATACACGGCTGCAGGAGATACTTGGTCCAAAGAGGCTTTTCTCTGATCTGCTGAAGAAACAGATTGCAGATCATCTAGTCTTACATGGTTAGGCTGTTGCAATTGGTGGTCTAGTTGGGATCTGGGTGGAAAGAAGCTGTTGGACTTTCTAGGCAGTGAAGGAGTAAAACTCTTTGCAGAGGAGTTAGGACTCGAGAAATTGTGAGCAGCTCTAGATTGTATCTGCGCTTCAGATAAGGAATCAAAATCTGCAATAGCATGATTATAATTCCTTTGTTCTGATGGAGATGGTGGCTGTACTGGAAGAATAGGCTGAATAGTATTGGAACTCTGTGATGTATTCCCTGGAGAGCAAATTTCAGGTTTTACTAAAACTGGGGGAGATGGTGTTGAGTCAACTGATGGAACAGAAACCTTTGAGTTAGTGGAAGATGTAAATTGAGATTTACCTGGATGCAAATTCTCACCGCATACTGTGCCCTGAGGATATGTAGGTAAAGCTGCAGGGTAATGTGGAACGAAAGGGGTCGCTCTTAGCTTGGGATCAGGACCATTCAAAGGAGATGTGTTCTTTTGCATAAGTTTAACAACACCTGGGGTATTATGGGTGTGAAATTCAGTGAATGGCTTATTTCTCTTGTTTTCTAGTGCCCTGATGGACTCATAATATTGCAAGAAGGAAGGATGGGACCTAGGTATAGGCATCACGGTAGCCCTGGGAACAGCAGGTTCATCCTGCACAAAATAGCCAGGAAGCACCGGAATGTCTTCTACTTTCGATAGTTGATCCGAAAAGCCTGGCAAGCTTGTTCTGGTCTTCTCTTGTTCTTGGCATTGGGGCAGAAGCATGCTTCGATGTTGGTCCTTAGAGATGCAACAATCCTTGCTTACTGGCTTTTCAGGGGAGCCTAAGTGTGGTGCCCCAGGGGTTTTTATAGTAGATTTAGTCACAGCTACAGGATGGACCAATGAAAGGTTAGATTCCACTGCAACGTTCTCAACTTTGGAAGAGACAGGCTGACCTGGGGAGAAACAAAACAAAACATTTATCTAAAAGGTGCGTAGACAAAAGTAGTGGGTACCACTGAAGGCCAGAGAGCAGAGTGCCTTATAGCAGTGATCTCCAACCTTGGCAACTTTAAGACTTGTGGACTTCAACTCCCAGAGTTCCTCAGCCAGCGAAGCTGGCTGAGGAACTCTAGGAGTTGAAGTCCACAGGTCTTAAAGTTGCCAAGGTTGGAGACCACTGCCTTATAGGATCTTGGGCAATAACTTCAGGCTTCATACTCACTGGAAAAGAGGTTGTAAAAAAGTAACTTGTGATAAAACTGTACTGAGAGAATTTTGCCATATCTCTGAGCATTTAATAATTATGCTCACATATCAACTTTGCATTGCTTTTGTTGGCTCTTTATTGGCCTTCACCTTGTCTATAACAAACCCAACATATTAAGGTAACATAGACTGCATCACACATATAGATGTATGGGATGAGTGGAGGAAAACTTTAGGGACTTTTTTTTAAAAAGGTAATGTGCCTGATTTTACGGTTTGCAAAATAGACTTGCATGTTTCCATTGCAAGATGTTAGGAAACTGCTAGCTGTTTTCAGCAATGATGGTCCATCAGTTAAATAAGCATTTGAATGAGGGGAAAAGTTCTAGTCTTACATTTTCCTTTTGGCCTCACCATCCTAGATCCAAACATCAAAACATAGAACATGTCTAGTTCTTGTATTCCATCCCCCCAACCAACCAATTCCTATTTTCCGAAATTCTTTGTCCTTAGCTTTACGGAAGAGTGGGGATATTCTTCTCCTGAAATGGTGGTGGTGGTGCCAGCCTCAGCCTAAAAATAGACAAGGCACGCAGAAGCAACCATTTATTTCTTCTTATCCTACACATTTAAGATGGGCACCCCTTGTGCCTGATGAACATGAAATGTTCTTGCTTGTGAAGCATTTCATACATTTGCAGTTGCAATAAAAGCTATAATTTTGTTTTAATTTGGTCGTGTGGTTTATGGAAAAGTGTGGAAGGAGAATCTTGGGGTCAAGCTATTTTTCTGTTTAAAAAACACAATGCAGAAATGTCAAATTAGGAAACTAAGGAAATTCCATAATAGCATACCTGGTTTTGCAGTTGACACATCAGGGGACACAGGGAACAGCAATACCTGAACTCCCTGACCCTTCATACAAACAACGTCTGGCATCTCGAGGAGACGTTCCTTGGTAGAAGAAGCATTACCTACTGGAAAATGTTGTTTAAAGGCAGCACTATAGGCAATTCGGAACTGGAACAGAGACAACCCGTTTGGGTGCCTCGCCAGAACCCGGGCCACTTGTTGCTTCAGTTCATCCTGAACAGTTGAGGGTTGGAATGTGGTCATGTGTGAATTGCCAAGTATCTGTTCGGTGACCGATTTTGCACTGGGCTGGTGTGGGTTTGGCTGCTGTGACCGAACAACAGAGGAACTCTTGGCTTTGACTGATACAGTATTGGGGGACTCATGAAATGAAGGTAAGTTTAAGGACATGGTAGATGGACAAGACTGGGTGGTGTGAAACACATTATTTACTTCAGGAGGGATAACAGCAATTGAAGCAGGTATGTTTTGACACTGAGAGTCACTTGCAGAGAGGTCTCTGACGGCAGACGTTGAGCCTTGCATCTGCTGGGCATGACCCTCAGAAGCTGTAAAAAAGAGAAAAGTAAATTGGGTACTGCTGGGTTTTGGAGCTGACTGAGAAGCAGACAAGTCCCTGAGTGCCTTGGTCAGAAAGCAAGACCAGGGCCTGCAGGGACCCATGTGGGGAGGGAAACCAAACCCATGATTCCAAGGACTCTGAGGGGCAAGTAATCCACAAAGTATAACCACAACTGGAACTAGAATTTCCAGGATACTGAAGTCAGGCCTGATTTTATGACAATTGTCATAGCAGTTGTTAAGCAAATCACTGCTTGTAAAAACAAACCACATGGTCACTGAGCAAATTTAGCTTCCCAATAGTGGTTTTTGGTTGGAAACTGGGGGGGAAAAATGGTGACCATGTTCCTGCAGGATACTGCAACCAATAGCAAATGTGAGCCATTTGCTAAGCGCTTGAATTGCAAACATGTAACTGAGAGGGTGGTGCTATGGTCATAAGTATGAGTACAGCTCATAAACCAGAATTTACTAGGCTGCTGTAACTTCAAACAGTCATTAAATAAATAACTGTAAAATGAGGATTGCTTATAACCTATATTACTACCCCTCCAGCTCCAATGCATGAAATCACTCTGCAGAAGATCTCAAAATCAAGATCCACCTTCACAATGTAGGATATCAGTCTAAACTTTTTTTAAAAAAAACTTTGCTCTGGGCAATATAAACCACAGGGAGATGAAGCAGCTTTTATGAAGAAGATTTTAACTTCTCCACGATAAATTTAAATTCAAACAAGGAAACATATACAAGCTGCTAAAATGTTTGCATTTGGAGCCTCTTGAACAATGTATATTCTATTTCTTCATTCTTTGCCCTTTCTATTTTTTTTGCCTTCCTTCTATAAAAATCAACTAAAATTGTGCAAAAGTTTAACTAATCTCTCTCCATTCCATCATCCACAAGAAAAAGCTGTTTTTCTAGCTCAGCAAATATATGAAGACTACACGACAGTGTGTGCTTAACGTTAATGAGTGAACAACTCTTGCACTTTGACCAGAGACATATTAATATGTTAAGTTGAAAAACTTTCACATTACAAAAAAGCATTCTATAAATAGAATATATATATTTGTGTGTGTGTGTGTGTGTGTATGTATGTATGTATACACACATACATACATACATACACATACATACATACATACAAACATACACATATATATACACCCACAAATAAATTTAGAGTGTATGTCCACTCTAAATACCAAACTATTGTTTACATTTGATATAAATAGACCAGTGAGTAACTTGAGGCCTATTATTGGATTTCAAGTCCAGCAAGAGATGCTGAAAACTATATTTCAACAATGTCTCAAGAATGTTTTACCATTACAAGAGCAGGATAAATGTGTATCACCAAGGGAAAAATTTGCAATCATTATCCCAAAGCTCATAAAATCCATGCCCTGGTGTCACATGAATTTTGTACACACTTTTCCCAACACCTCCTGTATTTTTCTACAGAACTTTCATGAAAGTCTTCCATTTTTTAGGCAAGTTTTGTACTCCCTATACTATCCCCTGCTTCCCATAAAAATTATCTCTAACAAAAAAGTGCCCTAATTTAACAGGTCTTTTCCAAATCTGTGCCACTTTCCCCAATCCGGTGCGAAGAGAGACCTCCGGAGCAGACTGTGGCGGCTTGAAAGGTGATCTCTGTGGCCTCTGCAATTAGAAAAAGCTCCTCCGGCGTACGCGGCCGCGGTGATCATCGGTGAGGCATCTGGCTGCAGTAAGATGCTTTTTTGGGAGGCTTGGGCTTTTTCCGGAGCGCAGCAGCAGCGAGAGGCTGGAGCACCTTTGGACAGTGCGACAGTGACGAGCGGCACTAAGAGAGTCTGAGGCGAACCTCGTAGGCTGGCCACATGGCTGTTAGCTGCTGAGGCAGCCAAATCAGAGGGAGGCAAAAGCCTCGCAAAGGCTGAAAAGCTTGAAGAGTGGAGGCCTGATAGATAGCAATTTAGGAGGAAGCCAATTTAGAAGGTTTGAAGAAATTTTGAGGATTTTTAGAGAAACTTAAAGGAAATTAGCAAAGAAAGATAGAGAGACACAGCAAATCGAAGGATCAACTGAGTCTATTTCTGGAGAGGAGCTTTGTGGGTGTGGCTTTAATACTTGTAGACCCAGTCATATTGGTTCCTGACGGAGTCATACCCATGCCTGGATGATGTCTCCATCTACTGGAGAATGGCAGGCGATTCCCTTCAGGGATGACTTGGCATTCACTTTAGCTATAACATTTTGATGTGATAAAAAAAACTGTAATAGCTTTCTGTTACCACTGGATGGAGATGGGGGAAAAGTGAGAAGCAAGGAAGAGATTATTGGATTTTACAGATGGTCTTCAATTTACAATCGGCTGTTAAGCAATGTGCTCCTTAAATCAGTTGTTAAAAGACTAATTATTGATATCTGCCCAAATTTTGATCACATAACTGAGAAGGTAGTATGATGATTGAAACTTCAGGGATGAATTGTAAGTCATTTTTTTTTCCAGCACCAGTTAAACTTTAAATTGTGATTAAAATAATGGTCAAAAATTAAGGACTACTCCTTAATTTATTCTTTGTTTTTATGTTCTTAAAACTCACTTTGGCACACAAAAGGTTACCTACTTATTGCATAACAATACTGTGAGCTAGCTCAAGAGAAAGTGACTGGCCAATTTCCATGCTTGAAGGAAGATTACAGTTTAGCTCAACACCTTTATTAGACAAAACTTTTTTTTTCTTATTTTAGTTCAAATACTCTATATGTACTTTGCAAGACTCAACCCCCACATTATGGGTGACAATAACCATCCTCAAAGTGATGGATCTATCAAAGGAGGCATTACCTGAGTGAGATTGAGTGACAAGAGTATTATCCCTATTAACTTGATAGGTCAATCTCAGTTGAGGCATCTTTTGCTCCAAAAATTCCACTGTGTCTTTGTAGCCCTGGGCAATGCTGAACTTCTCAAGATCAAGCCCTTCATCTGTCAGCAAAAAATCCTGCAATTTCTTAATTCTCAGGCCGTTCTTATAATTGCTTAAGAGGGCAGTAACCAAATCCATGACATCACTCAGTACTGTTGAAAAGGAGGAAAAGTATATAGGCAGGCATAAAGTTCAGAAAAGCCATGGAGAACAAACTAATACACCAAACCAATCCATGAATAGATTGTGATATATTCACACATAAAAAAATTCTTATAAATCCCATCTTAATCAATAATTATATGCATGTGTTTGCTTGTGTTGAATTTGGTAATATTAATTCAACTAAACAGGTCATGAAATATTTTTCTGAAAAGTGCAAAACAAGGTATTATGGCCAAGAATACCAAAGCAAATTAGATTCAAAGCAACAACCCTGTTAAAACCAGCTTAGTAGGCCTGGCAACAGATGTGCATACTATATTAAGCGATAGTGTGATTTGTTTGGTTTTAGCATCAGTATAATAAGACACAATATGACATGTGAACTAGTTCATCAAGCATATTTGAAGACCATGGTCATAACATCCTATATAAACACACATAAACCATAACCAAAGGCTCATTACTTGAAAATGAATGAATCCTATTTCTATATCCGTCTCTAACAGCTTATTTATCCTTAGCTATTTATTTATTTTAGCACTGTTTGTACCTGGACAGATTGTTCTACATTTTGGGGGAATAAGCAGTAAGGAAAAAGGCAATTTCTTTTACAAAGAACTCATGATGTATACATTTTCTAATTTGTCTTCTTCTATACAGATTCAAAAGTTATTTTTTTAAAATATCAATTCTTTAATTTTGCAAGTTTGCCAGCTTCCAGAAAAGGGTAATTTTTATTAAGATCACTTTTAATTTACTTACTGTATTTTTCCGAGTATAAGATGCACCTTTTTTCCTCAAAAGAGGAAAATCTGGTTGCATCTTTATACATTGAATACAGTGTTTTTTTGCCTCCCGAAGCCCCACCCCCCTTCACAAAAATGGCCATGCATACCCTTATGGAAGCTTTCAGAGAACTTGGGGGGGCTGGGGAGGGCATAAATGAGCAAAAAAACATTTTGGCGCCCCCCCACCCCACCCAGCAGCACTCTAAATCTTCCATAAGGCTATGCATGCAATTTTTTGACAAAAAAACAGGTCCGTTTTCATGAAAAATGGGCTGTCTTTTTGCTCATTCTCCCCCCAAGCACTCTGCAAGTCCCCCCGGCTATCCATGCCTTTTTTAAAAGGTGGGGGCTTTTTCATGAAAAATGGGCCATTTATGGGAGGTTTGCAGAGTGCAAAAACTTTTTTCCCCTTTCAGAAAGCTCTTTAGTTGCAGTGTTTGATGAGAATTACATTGATCAAGTGCTGTGCCAGCAGAAACAAGTCTTAGGTGCTGCAGAGTGTCAGCAATTTCCTTGTCCAGCACATGGATAAACACACCTGGAAACATCTAACTACCTACCTACTCTCTCTCTCTCTCTCTCCCTACCTACTGTATTTCTCTTTCTCCATCTACCTACCTACCTACTCTCTCTCCTTACCTATAAACTGTATTTTTCTCTCTCTTTTTATTTCTCTCTACCCCTCTACCTACCTACCCCCTCTTTCCCTACCTACCTACTGTATTTCCCTATTTATCTATCTATCTATCTATCTATCTATCTATCTATCTATCTATCTATCTATCTTTCTATCGATCTACCTACCTACCTATCTACCTACCTACCTACCTACCTACCTACTCTCTCTCCCTACCTACCTACAGTATTTCTCTCTCTTCCTCTCTATCCCTCTATCTACCTACTTACTTTTTTAAAAAAAATCGCCTCTTCAAAACCTTGGTCCGTCTTATACTCCCAAAAATATGGTATTTCTATTCTGGAAAACTCCAATAGGGTTTGGTCCCTATCATGGATCCTATCATGCATTATCAATAGTAACTGATGGATAGAAGATTGTGGAAGGCTGTTTGAATCAATGCTGATATTCCCGTGTTCAAGCAGGGCTGCCCAGTATCCAGCTTCATGATTTTCTCATAAATTGAATTACATTAGAATATTCATATACCAATAACCACTTCTAAACTATACAGAAAAAAATGTGCTCAGCAAAACTGCATTACATGGATGTAAGTACAGGGGGGGAATCAACAAATCACTGGGCTAAGCAGCTGCTTTACATTACTTTCAATTGTTCTGAATCAAGTAGTTAAGATCAATTTTAAAAGATTAAGCAGATTTGTGAATAGCAATATGGCAAAATGGCAATCTGTCCCATCTACAATGGGACAGAATTAGTAAGTGCTGTGGAACAGCAGCCCAGAGAAATCTATTAGACCTTGTATTCTATATATGCAATACTTAGGCCCACTGATGCAATAAAGAAAATGATGAACTCTGGCTGATGGTAGTAATGGCTGTTGATTTGGCTTAAAATGGTGATACAGTGGACCTCAGGTGCCAACCGTAATCTGTTCCAGGACTTCGGTCGGCACCCAATTTGGTCATGACCAGAGTAACACTGACTGCGCATGCGCACATACACAAACACAATTGACGTGGCAGGGGACATCGGCGCAGCAGGGAAAATCCGTGTGGCTGTGTTTGATTGGCACCCAAATATGTGTTCATCACCTGAGTGAAACGTTTAGCGGATTTTTTGGCCACCAACCAAATTGTTCATGGTCTGAGCCGTTCGAGACCCGAGGTCCCACTGTACAACTGAAAATGGTGGTGGCTGTTTGTATGATTCAGCAAAATTCAAATTGGTGGCTTCTAGATTATGTTTTGGGACTACAACTCCCAGAGATCTCTCTGAAATATGCTAGGAGAGAATTCTGAAATTTTTACTTCCAACGCATCTTAAGATACCAGAATAAAATAAGCTGTTCTACTCTACTTGGAGAAAAAACAGATGAAGATTTATATGAGCCTACTCTACTGTATTAACATGAAGTTGAATATAAACTTTCTTTTAAGGAAAATCATATTATAAGAAGGAATATGCACGTGACTGAACTGAGTTACCATATGCAGTAAAAATTATAGCAGCTGCCGAAAAAGATGAAGGACATAATTGATTGTCAAGAAGGCTTCTCGTAATGGTATTAAGGGTCTGTTTTCATAGAAATCCTGATCTTCTGAAGCCTGGTTCCCATTGGCCCTAACATTTCAGAATCAGATAGAAACTTACCAGGCCTCTTATCAGGTTCATCTTGGTTTGACTTGTTTGATGTCTGATCTGAGTCAGAAGAAGAGCTGGATACGCATGAAGACCATCTGAGGGGAACTGGAATATTAGAAAGGTAAAGGGGAAATGTGAGAACACTCAGAAGTCAGAGAAACAAATATGGCAAAAAAAAAAAAAACAACCCTCCAACCACCGATTCTCAACTACACTGGAAAACCAATCGATCATGCATCATAATAAGGGCACAGTCACAGAATGCAGATTATAGTTTATTTTTTTCAGGGAGATTTAGCTTCATGCTTCCTCACCATGATATGAAGGAAGATTTCAAAAGAGGTTTGCCTTTGCCTTCTCCCTAGAGCTGAGAGCGAATGACTGATCAGTCACCCACCTTTCTACATGAGGGCCAGAATTTGGGTTTACCCATTCCTAGCCTAGCATCTTTATCCACGACAATGAATTCACTCATTTTTCTCCACACATCATTTTAATATTATAGCTTCCCTATAATAAAATACAAGAGGTTCAGGTAGATTTGGTTTTATCTTGATCATTTGAATGCTATGCCTCTCAAACATTAATGGATCAAGAGCTTCTTCAGTAGAGGGATCATATCTTCAGAAGAACATCTTGGCTCCCTTGCTTCTATATTTCAGAAACTGATAGTAATGAAGTTATAAGCTTTACTGATGCCTCCTCTCCTAACCACTGGCTGGATTTGCTTAATATATCTCTTGCCACTGACATCATTGTTGAACTTAAAGTGCTTAGATTAGCTTACTGAAATTGTACTTCATAGCTGACTTCATTATATGTATAAAGTTATGATTTATTGTAATTTGTCGATTTTACTCAAACACAAAAAGAAAAAACCTTCAATATGCTCATGATACCCAATTATATATATATATGGTTTTATCAAACAATCTTGGAACCTCAGAATGATATAGAGGTTATTGATAGTCTGATTGTTGTTGCAAGAATGATGTGGGTTATTGGTTTTTGAATTAGGATTTTATCCTTTTGGGATATATATGTATATCCTTGTGGGATATATTATTTTTCTTAATAAATAATTACTACCTACTAAGGTATTTGCAGTTGAGACCTCATGAAAATATATATTTGCTTCTTTGTAATTTTTTCCTTTACGAAGTCAGCTAAAATTGTGCAAAAGTCAGATCGATCCCTCTCCCTTCCAATGTCCACAAGAAAAAGCTTTTCTTGCTGAACAAATACAAAGATTACACAATTACAGTGTACACTCTTATTGTTAATGAGTGTACAATCACTGTTCCATTTTGACCAGAGACTTTATTAATAAGTTAGGTTAAAAAAAACACCATTCTTGTTATAAACCTGAAGTAATGCTAGTATATGTTCACTCACAATATCAAACTATTACATTTTACAGTTGATATAACATAGATCAATGAGTTATGCAGTAAATACATTATTGTATTTAAAGTTCCAGCAAGTGATGGAGACTATACTCCAACAATATCTCAAAACGCCACAAGTGTTTTACCATTCTGGGGCAGGATACCAAATGCCCTCTAGATCTGTTGTTATGATTCTTTGAGCATTCTTGATTCCTGGTTGACTACATGGAAAAGCCCATGCTGTTGCTTGGCAACATTTCAAAAGGGGCTTGCCAAAACTCAGTTTCTAGGACTGAGAAAATGTCACTGGCCCAAACTCACATAGCTGGCTTTCATGCCTAATGATGGTGAAGAACCACAGTCCTACTCTTGTGCCTTTAACTTCTACAGTAAATGGCTCCCTTTTGCTAGAATTAATATTCTATTATAATCTAAAGGTAACAGAAAAGGTAACATTATCTTGCATCACCCAGAAAACCCTGCAGACCTCAGGCAGATTCTCAAGCTACGGTAATATGATTTTGTAAACTGCCTTGAACAATTGGGTGAATTTGGCTATCAATACTATTTCCAAAGAGATTGATTAGGGATAAGTATGCAGGGTCCTATCTCTCTTTATTTGGCTGTATTAGGAGGAAAAATACTAGGGAACCTTATATGCTGCAAAGCGCCAAATGCAACCCTGTCTTTCTTCATGAAAATAATTGTTTCAAAACATTTCATTATTAAAAAATCACACACAACTTTCTCAAGAAATATAAAATTGGGCACAGCTGCACTCAATACTTTGTGAGCTGCAGAAGCAACAAAACCAATAAATTAGACTGGGAATGATCAAGACCATGCTAAATGGCAAGAGAATAGGGAACCATCTCACCAATTTGCCCTTCTTCATGGATCACTTTTTAATGGACATAACTGCTAGGGCAGAATGTTGCCACTTTCCTGGCAGGTACTTCAAATTCCAAGCTGGTTCAAAAAAGGTTCCTTCCACTTGGCTTAACATAGTTCTTGCTGAAAATCATTTCTACCTTCTTATGCTGTCTAGATTTGCATAAGGAAGATACGAGATGGTTTTCAGCAAGAAATCTAGAAAGCATACTAAAAAGCAGAGACATCACCCTGCCAACAAAAATGCGTATAATCAAGACTGTGGTTTTTCCAGTTGCAATGTATAACTGTGAAAGTTGGATCATAAGAAAGCTGAGCATCAAAGAATTGAGGCCTTTGAACTATGGTGCTGGAGAAGACACCTGCGAGTACCTTGGACTGCAAGGCGGTCAAACTGGTCAGTCCTAGAGATCAACCCTGACTGCTCTTTATAAGGCCAGATCCTGAAGATGAAACTTGAATATTTTGGCCACTTAATGATAAGGAAGAACTCCCTGGAGAAGAGCCTAATGCTGGGAATGATTGAGGGCAAAAGAAGAATGGGATGACAGAGAATAAGGTGACTGGATGGAGTCACGGAAGCAGTAGGCGTGAGCTTAAATGGAGTCTGGGGGATGGTAGAGGACAGGAAGGCCTGGAGGAACATTATCCATGGGGTCGCGATGAGTCAGACATGACTTCACAACTAACAACAACCACCTTCCTTATATTGTATGGAGAATCAAATTAAAGGTTTACCTTTTTCAGAATTTAGTGGGTCAGCTGTTTCTACAGATTTCGGAAAAGGAATTGGCACATCTAGCAAAAGAAGGGACAAAGATAACATCATAATGCATTGGGAGAAGAAAAAGTGAACCAATCAGATAGTGATCTTTATTATTGTAAAGATCTCAAAGGTTAATTAAAAAAAACAATATAGAAAATAAAAATGCTAACAATTACAGGCTAGCACAGGTCTTGCTGAAAACCATCTCTACCTTACTTTTAATACAGAGGAAGCATTTTAAAGGCTTACTTGGAGCGGAGTTTGGTGGGTCAGCTGTTCCTTTGGATTTCAGAAGAGGAACTGCAGTATTTAACAAATGAGTAAAGTTAACATCGGAATGTATTAAGAGGAGAAATTTAAGCAATCAGATACTGACCTTTATTGTTGTATAGATCTAAAAGCTAGTCTTTTTTTAAAGAGCAATATGGAAAATAAACATGCTAACAATTACAGGCTAACTCTCATTAGCAGAATAAAATCCAAGAATTCATTTTCACACAGAAAGGTTATAGATAGCTGTTAGAAAAGTATAAGCACACACTATTAGCAATCTTTTCCAAAACCTATTTACATCCAGTACAGAGATGTAACAAAATAAAGGGATGGAAATGCAAGAGAAGATTGGCAGATAGGATGCGATGGATAATATTTTGGGCCACTTATACATTTTAACAACTGGAACCTCACTCTATCTTCACAATTTGAGTAAAATGGAAGACTACTTTCTCCATCCGTCTCAATGATTATTTCCTGCAGATAATGTGTACCACCAATGGCAGAATTTTCAATCATTAGAAGGGGCTTTCCCAGTCCAGTCATGTCCAACTTTGGGGACAATGTTCATCTCTGTTTCTTAGCCGAGGGAGCCCATATTTATACAAAGCTACTGTGGTACTCATATGGCCAACATGGCAATACACCGAGAAGCACAATACACTGTTACCTTCCCACCTATGTGGTATCTATCTCACTTGCATTTGCATGGTATCAAGCTGCTAGGTTGGCAGGAGCAAATAACTGGAGCTCATCCAGTTACATGGCACTTAGGTCTTAAACCTGAGCTATCAGCTTTCCAGTTAAAATCTCAGCATCATTAATGGCTGAGCCATCACACCCCATTTTCCAATCGTTATGGGAATGTAATAATGCATTCTAAATAATTCAGTGAATCCCAATGCCCAGAAAAACTATGCTCTGGTGTCCCATTGCATATTTCCCAACACTTTATTTTTCTATACAATGTTCATGAAAGTCTTCCATTTTCTAAGGAGACACTATACCCTACTTCTCCCATACAAAATTCCCCCTAACAAAAGTTAGCCCCAAATTATGGGCCTTTTCCAAATTGGTGCAACTTTCCCCAATACACACTTGCTAACAAGATTGATAAATGGCAGGCAATTCCCTTCAGGGATGACTTGTCAGTCATGTAGCTATAACATTTTGAATGATAGAAAAGTGTAATAGCTTTCTTTTACCACTGGATGGAGGTGTGGGGGGAGTGGGAAGCAGGGAAGAGATTATTTCTTGGATTTTACAATTTCAATTTACAACCACAATCAGAATTCAGTCACGAAAGAATAAGCTCGTTAAATAAGACATTATGTGACCAGACTCAATTTTGTAATGTTTTTTTCCACAATTCTTAAGCGAATCAGGGTGGGTATTAAACAAATTATAGTGATACTGAATCAGATGATAGTTAAGCACATCCACAGCTTCCTTCATTGGCATAGCTTGTCGGAAGCTAGTCAGGAAGGCTGCAAATCATGATTATGTGACTGGAGGATGCTGCAACCATCACAAATGCAAGGCAGTTGTGTCTAAATTATGATCACAGAACTGAGGTGGTAGTATGATGACTGTAACTTCAAGGATGAGTTGTAAGTCACTTTTTTCAGCACGAGTTGAACTATAAATTGTGATTAAAAGAATGGTTGTAAATTAAGGACCACTTACAGTTTTATACCTTGTTTTGTTTTTTACAACTTATGTTGACACATTACTTATTTGCGCCATAACATTTAGATGTAGCTTGGAGTCAGAGATTCCATAGTTAAAGGAAAATTACAGGTTAGATCGTAGCCAAGCATCTTTACTAGTCCATTTTTTTTCTTTTCGTAGCCCATTCCAAATCCAAATACTCTACATGTGTTGTACATGCAAGACTCACCTCCCCCCGCCCCCCACACACACACATTACTGATACCAATAACCATTACCTAGGAGGAATGGATCTATTTAGGCTAGACATTACCTGAGAGAGGTTGAATGGAAACACTATAAAGTCTTTTCCTTTTGTAGTTCAAAATCAGTGGAGGCATATTTTGCTCCAAAAATTTCACCATGTTTTTGTATCCCAAGGCAAAGGTGACCTTCTCAAGATCAATCCCTTCTTCTGTCAGCAGCAACTCTTTCATTTTCTTAACTCTCAGGCCAGAAATATACCTGCTTAAGAGGTCAGTGAGTGATGCCATGACTTTGTTTAGTACTGTTGAAAAGAAGAGAAAATGTATACAAACAAGAAGCTCAGAAAAACCATGAAAACAAGTTAATAAATCCAACAATTCAAGACTACCACCATGGCGATATTTACACATAACAAACATAATTATGAATCCTATCTTACTCAATAAATTATATGCATGTGTTTGCTTGCGTTGAACTTTAACATTGATTCAACTAAATAAGTCATGAATTACTTTTCTGAAAAGTGCAAAGCAAGATATCATGGCCAAGAATAGCAAAGCAAATTAGATTCAAATCAAAACAACCCTAAGTTAAAACCAACTTACCAGACCTCTGATTAAATGTACATACTATATATTAAGCCATAGTATGATTTGATTGGTTTTAGCCTCAGCATAATAAGGCCTAATATAATGTATGAGCTAGTTTATCAGACATGTTTGAAGACCATGGTTAAAACAGCCCAACACACATTAACCATAGCCAATGGCTCATTGATTGAAAGGGAATAAATCTCCTTTTTCTCTCTCTACTTCTACAAAGGGAGGATTAAAGAAAAGCAACATCGGTTATTTGTTCAGAACTGCTTATTTATCCTGTGGTTTGCAATGTCTACATCCCAGTTTTAGCATTGTTTGTACCTGGACAGAGTGCTCTACACTTTGGGAAAATAAGCAGTAAGGAGAAAGACAAATTCTTTTACAAAGAATTCATGATGTATAAATTTTCTAATCTTTCTTATTTCTGAATCATTCAACAGCTATTTTTAAAATATATCAATCCTTCAATTTTACAGGTTTACCAAGCAATTATTCTTTAATTTCTAAGTTTTATTAAGATCACTTTTAATCTACTTATGTATTTCCATTCTGGTATCCTCCAAAACTGTTTGATTCCCTATCATAGATCCTATCATGCATTATCAATAGTAATATTAGAGTTTTTAGATTAATAATAAAATGTGTAGATGATTGTGGAAGGCTGTTTGAATCAATGTTGTCCTTACCATTTTCAAGCACAGCTGCACAGGTTTTCCACCTTCATACTTTCTCATAAAATGAACTATCTTAGAATATTAATGTAAAAATAACCACATCCAAACTAATAAAAAATGAGTTATTAGTTTGGATGTGGTTATTTTTACATTAATATTCAGCAAAAGTGAGACACGCTGAGGAAGGTATAGAAGAAGAAAAAGTTGGGCTGGACAGGAGATTTTCAATTTCACAATAAATTGTTCTGAACGAAGGATCATTTTAAAAGGTTAGGCATTTGAAAAAATTAAGAGTAAAGTTGCACATCAAAATTACAATCTTTAGGCTCTAGAATTGGACAGAACTAGTAATCGAGGTGAAATAACAGAAAGAAAAGTCTATTGTATGGAATAATCAGGCCTATTGTTCTATTGCAATGAAGAAAATAGTGAACTATGGTTGATAATGATAGCTGTTGGTATGGTGATATTGCTGAAGATGGTCATGGCTGTTGATATGATCTAGCAAAATTCAAATTAGTGGCTTCTAAATATGTTTTGGGAGTACAACTCCCAGAAATCTCTCTGAAATATGCTAGAAGAGAATTCTGAAAATCTAATCCAAAACACTTTAGCATATCAGAGTACAAAAAGTTGTTCTACTCCACCTGGAGAAAAACAGATATAGGGTTACATGAGGCTATTCTGGCCTATAAACCTGGAGTTCTACACAAACTTTTAAGTAAATCATACATGTTATAAGAAGGAATATGCACATGATTGAACTGAGAGTACCATATTCAGTAACAATTATAGCAGGTGCAGAAAAAGATGAAGAAGGATCGACTTGATTGTCAAGCGGGCTTGATCCCTAATGGTGTTAATGATCTGATTTCATATAAATATACCACTTGGTCTAACATTTCCTGACCCTCTAAACCTGGTTCCCATTGTTCCCAAAATTTCAGAATAAAACAAACTTACGAGCCTTCTTTTCAGATTCATCTTGGATTGGACTGTTTGAGATGCAAATAGGCTGATCTGAGCCAGAAGAGGAAAAAGGGCTGGATCCGTATGAAGAGCAGCTAAAGGAAGCTGGAATAATAGAAATTTGGGAGGGGGGGATTTGAAAACATTCAGAAGTCAGAGTAACAAATCTGACCAAAAAAAAACCACCTTCCAGATGCAGGTTCTCAGCCACAGTAGTTGGTAGATAGGATGAGATGAATAAAGTGTTGGAGTATTTACTTAGTTCAACAACTGAAATCTTACTCCATCTTCACAGTTTGGCCTTCCACAATATGGAAGACCATTTTCTCCATCCTTTTCAACTATTCCTCCCTCTAGATAAATGTAAACCACCAATGGGAAAAACTTCCAATCATTAAAAAAGGTAAACATTTTCCCTGTCCAGTCATGTCTGACTCTAGGGGGCAGTGCTCATTCTTAGCAGACGGAGCTAGTAGTTGTTTGAAGACACTTTCGTAGTCATGTAGCCAGCATGACTATACACCAAGGTGCACAAAACACTGTTGCCTTCCCATTGAATTGGTACCTATTTACCCTCTCGCATTTACATGGTTTCAAACTGCTAGGTTGACAGGAGCTGCAGCAAATAAAGGGAGCTCATTCTGTCACGTGATGCTCGGGTCTCAAACCCGAGCAGCCAAGCTTTCCAGCTGACAAGTTCAGCACCATCGTACCCCACTTTGCAATCATTATGGGAATTTGATAACACATTCAGACTAATTTTTCAGTGAATCCTAAACCCAGAAAATCCACGGTGTGGTGTCATATGATCACATTTTGTACACATTTTCCCCAGAAGCCAGCCAGGAATCATGATTATGTGACTCCAGGATGCTGCAACCATCACAAACACGAAACAGTAAATAAATACCCAAATTCTGATGACATAACTGAAAGTTGTATGATGGTTGTAATTTCTAGGATCCTTGTAAGCCACTTCTAGAGGGACTATATCTTCAGAACATGTTGGCTCCCTTGTTTCTATACTTCAGAAACTGATACTAATGAAGTTATAAGCTTTACTGATGCCTCCTTTCTTAACCGCTGGCTAGATTTGCTTAATACAGGGGTAGTCAACCTTTTTATACCTACCACCCATTTTTGTATCTCTGTTAGTGTAAAATTTTCTAACTGCCCACCAGTTCCATAGTAATGGTGATTTATAAAATAGGGAAGTAATTTTACTTTACAAAATTTATAAAGTAGAGTTACAGCAAATCCCTACCACCCACCATGAAAGCTGGAACACCTACTAGTGGGCAGTAGGGACCAGGTTGACTACCAGTGGCTTAATATATCTCTTGCCACTACTGTCTTTTCCATTGCGACATCATTGTGAGTCCTGGTGAACTTTAAAGTGCTTGGATTAGCTCACTGAAATTGTACTTCACAATTGACTTCAGTAAAGACTATGTATAAAGCTATGACTCTTATTGTTTCTAATTTGTTGACTTTATTCAAACTTGAAAAGGAGAAAAAAACCCTTCAATTTGCTCATTACACCCAGCTATATACTGGGGCTTATGTTCTGTTTTTTCTACGTGAAGAATTTATACCTTATTCTACATTCTGAATAATGTGGCTATACTTCCACAAGCACATGTAGGGCAGGTGAGTACTCAAAGCATTCACTGATTCTACTGGGAGCCGTCATTGGTAATTAATTAGCAGAAAACTGAGTGGTTGTTTTTGCCAAGAAATCCAAAAAAATTAATAAGGAACCAAAGAGAATGAAATGGATATTAAAAACTTTAGGTATTTGAGTATAGTATTCCAGTCTCCCAGTAACTGAAATATGTACACTGATTATATTGTTTCACAAGTATAAAGGAATACAGCAGCTACTATGATTTTTTTTTTGACATTACAACAAACCATTTTTTTCTCCTTTTGGAATGCACATAGGCTAAAATTATATTTAGAAAAAAGGTCGTCCAAAATTTCCATTGATAAACAAGTCAGTTGATAAGTGAGTTTTGCCTCATTTTACGACATAGCAGTTCCACCAGTCCCCGGTTACCATCACTAAGCAAGGTCCATGCAGATTTGTTAAGCAAGAACTTCATGTGACCAAGACATCCCACTTCCTGTAGACTTCCCCATTGACGTGACTTGTGGGAAACTTACAAGAAAGTCACAAATTATGATCAAATGATCGCAGATTCTGCAACAATTGGAAATTTGGGCATGTTTCTGAGATGATTGCAATAATTGCAGAAGTTTCACTTTATTGGTGGTTCACATCCCTCTTTTATTGCTGTTTCTTGCCCAAACTATATTGCTCAGCATAAGCATACTCTTTTAAATGCCACAAAGCCACTCCATATTTATTTATCCAAACATCTGTTTGCCCATCCGTTACATTTCTCACCTGACTTAAGTCGAACCGTACAATTCCTGTTCGAATTCCTCTTTACTACCAGCTCAGGAATCTCCTGGAGGCAGGAAACTATGTCGTTATAGCCAACCAGAAAGCAAAATACATACAGGTCATATCCACATTTCTTCTTCACTGCCTCTTTTAACTTCGACAACTTCAAGCCATCGGGATATAATTTCAAGATGCTACAAATTGGCACTGATGCAACTGTTAAATCTGCAAGTGAAGATAATGACTTCAATCTCCATGTTATGTAATTAATAGTCTTGCTATAAATAAATTAATGCTGCAGGAGTAAACCTAGAAGCTCTTAGAAGTCTCCAAAAATTGCAAATTGTAATTTCAACTTCACAGGATGAAATAATTCAGCATGGAACTTGAGAACCGCCACCTTAACTATACTTAAAATTGATGAAAATTAATGAAGTCAAATGAAATTTTGCTCCTAGCTTTATTCAGTATATTTTTAAGGAGATGGCACTTTGCTCAATAACCAAAAGGCCAAAGGCAGCTTCTGGAGTCAAAAGAGGTGTCACTTTTCCAGCCACCTTAAATTCAAGGATGTGGATTAGAAAAGGTTTTGAAGGAATACTCAGAGAATCAACTGCTGGGTAGGAACTAATTTCATCAACATAGAGATACAGTATATTCATAGATTCCTCAAAACCTCTAATTGTTTAAGGGCAAGGATGATTTTTAGCCTTGTGTTTCCTGCAGAAATTTGTATAAGAGAAACAAAGAAGAAATTCACAATCAACCTAAAATTATGAAAACATTCCGTTCCCATCTCCTTGTGATATGTTTATAAGATTAGAGAAAATCAACTATGCCAAGGCCATGCGGTTATGTTCCCTGTAAGATAGACCCCGTTGACTATTCAGAAATTATTTCTATATAATAATAGCAAACCCCTTTTTTCCAGAATAAGGCTAGTTTCTAAAAGAGAAAAACTGAGCATTAAGATAGCAGGTTTTTAAAAAAGAGGATAAGGGTGAATGTTCTGCTCTATTAGTTCTACTGAGATTGTAATTATTGCAACAAAAGAGAAATGCTCACTTATCAATAAATTTAGGTATGCATTACTAAACAGGATTTCTATTCTTTCAGAATAAAATATAACATTCTACTAGGAATATTGTTTTTTTTTTTTTGAGAAACAGGTTGTCTTCTTGCTCCAAAATATTTTTAACCATGACAAATCATGTCAGGGAGGTAGAAAGAACTGTCATGAGGGTCCTTGGTGCTTTTTGACCTTGGGAAATGGAAGGTCTGCAAGAAAACAACTGAATTAAGTATTATCAATGCTTTCCTTTAGTAGAACTTTCATGGCTTCTGATAAGTATTCCCTGCTACGGCAACTGCATCAGTCACAGTAGATAACTAAAGAAATAATAAGACTGGTGTTTTCCAATATGGGAGTTTCCAAATATATTCATTCCAAATTCCCCACTACCACTACCAGAATGGCCACATTAAGTTCCCTAAGGATGTACAATATGCTCCATGCACAAACAGTTCTGAGCACAGAACAGATACTTTCACGTAGTCTGTATCAGTCCAAACATTTGAGTTCTGGAAAGAGATTGTTGTTGCCCAAGGGTAGGGTCAAGGAAGTGGCAAAATAAATACCAAGGAGCTTGACAGCATGGACAGGCAGAAATTAAAAGGAAAGGGGGGAAAAGAAAGCAATAGCAAGATAGTCTGTCCTGTAATTGAGGGTATCATTGATGGCTTATGAAGATGCAGACAAAAAAAAAAGCATTGGCATGATTAGGGAAGTAAGCTGACTGGTTGGTATGTACGATGCCTGAACCAAGAATACCGGCAATTGTTGAAAAAGTGTTGTAGGGAAAGAAATACACTGGAAAGATTAGCAGATAGGACAGTGCACAAGTCATGGAAAGGAAGAACACATCCTAGCCTTGCCCTATTCACCCCATGAAAACCCTCTAGACTTTCTCTTCTCCCATAACCTGGAAAACCAAAATGTTCTGATTTCAATTTTGCTGAGTCCGGATCTACTTGGAATATATAGTAGAAACTCAGATATAATGGATTTCATGCTTTTTTTTTAAAAAAAAAAGTTGTTTTTGTTGTGATGGCCCAAGATAAATAAATGCTCTAATTTGAATTAGCCAATTCCATAAGATGACAACTGGGCTAAATCCTTTTAAGAAAAAAGTATGGGAATTTGTTTCTAATTTTAAGGAAGTAGACATAGGCATTAAAAGAAAACTATGCATGTTTTTTGGAAACATCTGTTTGGATGATGTGTGGAAAATGGTGAATTTGATAAGAGTTTTTATCTACCAGCAGAGTTTAATCTTTCTATACAATGTATGCAGAGCCATTTCTGATTATTATTACATTAATTATGGAATCAACTTTTATTTATATTTTTATTTATATTATTTAGTAAAATAAAATTGAGATTGTATGATTCTACCTTTAGAAAGTTGGACAACACATTTGTCGTCTCGATGTCTGATGATTAGATTAGGTACGTGGTCAACCAAAAAGGTTATAGCATCCTTATAGCCTTTGGCAATGCTGAATGTCTGTAGATCAACTCCAATTGTGGAAAGCAAGAGTGTCTTCATTTTATCAAACTTCAAACCTGACTGATATTCTATTAGGAGATTAGTAACTGTAGCTAAGACTTCAGCCAGATCTACCAAAAATGCAAATCAGTGATCAAAAAACAATCCACATCTCAATATAGTATTTTATAATGATATTATAAATTATCTTAGTCTGAAACTGTCTTTTCCCTCCCTGTGGTTCTATGTCAGTCTGCCACTTACTTGGTCATACTTATATAAACATTCTATCTAAAGAAATTTGAAATCTCAATAATCAATTATCAAATATATATTAATTAGAATGTAAACTGGAATAACAAACAGAGATGAAAACCAAGAAATATTTCTTGGTAATCTATTGTAATTTGAAAAACTAACTCTTATCATCTAAAAGTGCTGAGAAGTATGCTAGCATTCTGCATTCCGTAATTTGCATCACATGGGTTCAAATAAATGTAATTTTGTAATATGAATTATCTTTGGATGGACAAATATTTCATTTAGATGATTAGATGCAAGGGAATTGCAGAAGACTGGATAAAAGGTGAAAATACACTTTTATGAAGTCATTCGTTTCAATGTGCTATCTGACTTGCAGAGACCAGGCAATATGCACAGTGAATACCATATTTTTCGGTGTATAAGATGCACCTTCACCGCCTCCCTCCGCCCCCCAAAAAAGATGGGTGGCAATGTCTCTGGATTTTATACAACGAATGTTGCCGAAGCCCCACCCACCCTTCAGCCTCGGCCCCCAGCAATTCATCTCCTTGCAGCAAACAGCCTGGTCAGCTTCAGCACAGTCTGATTAAGCACTGTTTGGCAGTTGGGTCGGCCTCCCAGAATACCGCCAATCAACTGTTCTAGGCTGCAGGGATTGCAACTGCCCGTCACCATACGCTCCAGTTTTGGCCACTGTGCACCACATTTTCTGCTTCTGCACATCCTATTTTTGGCCTGTTCCAGGCAGGGGACTGGATGGTAGCAGCAGCAAATCCCCACTGCCTGGAATGGGCCCAAAAAAGGGGTGCATGGAGGCAGCGATATGCAGCATGGCGATGGGCAATCCCTGCAGCATGGAACAGCTGATAAGCAGTATTCCGGGAGGCAGATCCAATCGCCAATCAGCTAATTGCGCTAAATCTGTGCTGAAGCTGACCAAGCTATTTACTGTTTGCTGCAAGGAGGTAAACTGCTGGGAGACAGAGGCAGATTTCCTCCCCCCCTTGTTTTCTTTCCCAAAAGCTAGGTGTGTCATATACTTCGGAACATCTTATAGTCCAAAAAATATGGTAAATGAATGGAGCACTGAGCAACTTGTGATAGCTTAAATTAAATTGCATAGCTGTTAATCATAAGACCAAGCAAAATTTAACTCTCAGCCATCTTGCAATACAGCTAGGCTGAGTTACAACCATAATAGAGTCTACCCATTATGGTTGCAAATTATGGTTGTTAAGCAAGACCACAATGACCTCGCTTAACAAACATCACCCCTCTTCTTCCTGATGTGGATGTTAAATGACCACTTGAGTTTTTAAGCAGAGCACTGGATGCCTCAAGGATAAGGGGAAACAGAAGCTATTGGCATGCACAGGGTTGTTACAGCTTACAGGCAAAGATCTCCTACCCAGCACTTAGTCATATAAGACAATGTAAAGTGACCCAGAGACTGGCAGGATTCAGCCTGCTCATTAGCCAGCTACAGGGCCCAGCAGCACTACTTGAAGGTGCTGGTTGTTGCCTTTAAAAGTTTTCATGGCATGGGACCAGTTATCTCAGGGATCATCTCTTGCTGGTTACATCTACCTGACCCACTAGAGTGGGGAGGCAAGGAATGTTGTGGATCCCTTCCTTTAAAGAGATACATCTGGCGGGCAATATTCCCTCTAATTTTTTTTCAGTGTGAGCAGAAAAGTATAGTGTTTGTGAGGCATATTTTTATGCCTGAGCACCTAAATTTTTTTCACAGATGTCACCTAAGACAACAACGAAATCAGTATTATTTGAAACTCAAAGTTATGTTTATTCAAGGTACCCGCTTAATTAAAAGTGTATTACTTAACAACGCTCCTGCTTAGCAACCAATATGTTGGCTCAGAAAGTCTGGCATTTGAAACACGGAAGTCTTAAAGCTGTTGTTACAAGATCCTTGCACCCATAACCCTTTAGGAAAAGAAAAACCAGGGGTCTTCAAACACCACAGCTTTAAGACTTGTGAACTTCAACTCCCAGAATTCCTCCTCCAGTCATGTTGGGGCGACGTCATCTGCGTGGATCTGCTCCATCTTCGGTTTTTTCACTAGGGGCAGGGCTACCACTGAAAATGCCGATGAGCACCCACCACCACCAGAATAACTGCTGCTGCCTCCTCCTCCTCCTCCAACAGCACCACATTTGCTGCGGCTGAGGTGAAGCCGCCAAAGCTCCCGCTGGCACCCACACCCGTGGCAGCTGCGGCGGTGCCTCCCTCTCTGCTCGAAGTAACTGAGCTGGGCACTGCGTTACCCCTGCCACCTCCTCCTCCTCTGCCGTGCTTTTGAAAAGCCATGAGGCCTTTTTTTCCCTGCTCCCGCCCCCTCCGCCGCCTTCCTACTGGCTCCCGTGGCCTCATGGCTCCTCAAAAGGTTGGTGGAAGAGGAGGGTGGAGGGATAACACGGGGCCCAGCTAAGGTGCTCCGCGTGGAGGGGGAAGCACCACTGCCACGGGCGGGGGTGCAGGCTGGAACTTTGGCGGCTTCACCTCAGCCGCATCGGGCGGCAAATCCAGTAGTTCTGGAGGAGGAGGTGGCAGCAGATATTCCGGTGGCGGCGGGAGCTTTGGGGGTTCACTTCAGCCGCAGCGCCGAGTGCAAGTGGCTAGGATTGGCTGCCCACAAAGGAACTCCCCAGGCTTGCTTTGCTGAACACGGGGCGACTGACACTAGTTTGAGAGGCTGGCGCAAACTACCATCACTCACTCTGTGCTCATCAAAACAAGTCTGGGGAAGTCATTTGTGGGCAGCCAGTTCTAGCCACCTGCAAAGGACTTCCCCACATTTGCTTTGCTGAACATTGGGCGACTGATAATGAGCGCCACAGCCGGCGCCTAGCAGGTCCTAGGAGACCGACTGTGCCGCGTAAGCTCCTGCCGCCATCCCCGTGCCAACCCTAGATTTTCTGAGGCCTCTCAGCTTCCGGAGCCTGTGACAGAAATCATTGTGTGGCAGTTAGAAATTGCAGCACAGTGTTTTCTTACCACGTGCGCAACCGTGCATCTGCGCACCTTAAGGAAACAGTGCTGGTGGGACCCAGAAGAAGGGCCTTGTTCTTGGTAGGTTCCTCCCGCTGGAAATTAGATTGGCTCCCATCTAACACTCATTTGAAAGGCCCTGAATATGTAGTTCTGCCAGCAGGCCTGGGGAACCCATTAAATGGCTGGCATGAATGTGTGTCGTATTGTCACTGGGGTGAGAGGTTCTTATTTCATTATGGTGGGAGGGTATTTTATTATTTTTTTCTTTTATATTGTTTTTATTTCCTGAAAGCCGCCGAGTTGCTCTGAGAGAGTAAGCAGCAATAAATTTTCAAAATAAAATAAAACGTACTTTTCCTTCCCCCCCCCCACTCACCAATGTGTCAATGTGAGATTTAAGCTTTCCTACAGAGGCTGCCTCATGGCAACCCCTTGCTATTCTGCAGGCTATATTATACTCGTGATCCTCTAGGGGGCTCTGCTTTTTAAGGAGTTTCCACAAACAGATAGAGCCTAGAATGAGGTGGTCTCTTTAGAAAAACTATGGTCGCATTGGCCAGGACACTTCTCTGCAAAAAACAGAAAGGCAAGTTGGATGCTGCTGGGCCCTGGAGCTAACCAAAGAGACCTTAAAGTTCCTGTGTGGGACAACCTGTAACAGTCCTCTGTGTGCCAGTAGTCTTCTACTGGCTTTAGGATCCCTTAGGCCTCTGATGGCGAACCTATGGCATGCATGTCAGAGGTGGCACACAGAGCCCCCTCTGGGTGTGTGTGCCATCACCAGCTCTTCTTCTGATTTCCGGCACATGCATGAATGCTGGCCAGCTGGTCTTTGCACTGCCTGGTGTGCATGCATGTGCCGGAAACCCAAAGGCCAGCTGGCCAGTGCGTGCATGTGCACCAGCTAGCTGGTCTTTGGGTTTCCAGCACACATTCCAGTTTGGGCACTCGGTGCCCAAAATGTTCGCCATCACTGCCTTAGGCGGCTGGGTGGAAAGCAGGCTTCAGCTGTGGGGGCATGTATTGGCATGAGTGGGGCAGATAGGTAGAGGGCCACTGTAACATCCCTGCAGTTACTTGTAAGGGTGAACAAACACAGGGCTACTGAGGCCATCATAATTTTGAAACTGAGTCATAAATTAGAGTCTGTTGTAATTTGAATCAGTCACTTTTGCGGGGGGGGGAGAGACATCTATATCTACAGTGGAAGGATAGAGTTTAAGAATGGGCAGCACACAAATAAAGCAAATAAATAAAGTTTCAGATAGCCAAATATAATGCCCAATATAATGAGGCAACTGCTACAGCTGTACTGGGCTGCCATTTTCCCCATTAGGTAATGCATTTACCTGCTGCTGCATCTTTCCTTCTTGCTCTTTTTTCCACCTTCAATCTTGAATCTTCTTCCACCTTCAATCTTGAATCTTCCTCTTCAAAACTGTCCAGTCCGTCGTTTTCAATTTCATCCAGCCAACCACCAATATTTAAACCATCTATTAGCTTCATTACGGGCTCGCTTGTTTGACTGCCTTTAACAACAACAGTTTCTCTCATTTCATCTAATAAATGTCTGAGGGAACTGTACCCGTAATGAGATAATTGGGGATGAAAATGATGAATCTGATAATAAGCACCAATGAAGTCTCCAAATTTGATACCATTTGGGTAGTTGATTAGCACTCGCAATGTATTGCATTTTAAGCTGTCAGCATCCTTCTGCTCCATGTCCATCAATACCTAAGGTCAAATGAACATGTCAACATCAACAGTGTTTTATATCATCTGGGAATTTATCAAACTTGGTCCTAAAAACAAATGAATGGAACACAGGAATTAATTACCAACCAACACAAATTACCAACCAACACAGGAATAAAGAAACAAACCAATAAAACTCAGCCACCTCTCTGAAGGACTAGAAAAAAGCTGGAAATCAGTACAGCAAGTAGTAGTAGACTAGGAGACATCAGCCAGCTTTCTCATTGTTTACTGACCATAACAAGATGTAACTTAAGTATGGCTTAGTGGAACATTTGACCTGAACTGTTTTATTCCAACAAATTTGGGCAAAACACAATATATAACCACAACCTATTTTTCAGAAATGGAAACATGCTAGGGTGTGGAGAATACTCAGAAAATAATTTACGGCCAGCTTGGTCTAGTAATTAAGGCACCAAGCTACAAACTAGGAAAGTATCAATTCTAGTGCTACCTTAGGCTTGAAAGCCTTTGAGCCAAGCATGTTATCAGCCCAACTTACTTCAGAGTTGTGGGAAAAACAGGAGGAAGAAAGTAGTAACTATGTTTGCTGCCTTATTTATCAAAGGGGGGGGTATATGCAGGTACTTCTCAGCTAGTCGCTTAGTAACTATTCAAAGCTACAATGAGCTTGCCCAAAATTTGTGACTGAGTTCTGAAATTACAACAGCCACGCTACCAGCACCTTCCAATCACATTTATGGCTGTTTCTAGCATTTCAGAGTTATGGAAATGCAATTTACAACATTTTTGCTGAAAATCAAAAGTAAATGTCAGTTGTTGTCCCCCCACAAAAAAAAAGAGTTTGCTTAATAACCACATTATTTATTTGGTGACTGTTGAGCATTCCACAAAGCAAGAGCAACCACAGAAATTGCACTTTCTAGGTCCCATAAAATGACAAGATTTTTTTTTAAAAAAAAGGAATATGTAGCAAGGCCTCCCAATGGAAGATAGAGCCCAAATGTTCTTAGGAGAAAGCTGTCCCTCAAGTAACCAAGTTCTATGCCATTTAAGGCTTTCAAGGTGATAACCAGCACCTTGAATTGTAACTGGAAGCCTATCAGAAAAGCCAGTGTACTGTAGCTTATACAGTAGCAGTGTTACACAGTGTGTGTGTGCACCCATAACATTGCATTCTGGACTAATTGAATTTTTCATATACTTTTCAAGAGCAGCCATGCAAAAGATGTGGAACTTCCCTTAAATTGTACAAAGTAAAAAAGGAACTTCCAAAAAGGTTCCATGCCCATTTGCACTATTCAGGAGACACTGAGGGTACAGATACATGTTCAAATGTTCTTGATTCTTAGCACTCAAAGAGTGCTAAGAACTAGGTGACTGAAAGGAATATAAATCTATTTTTCATCATTCCATCAGAACTGAGGCAGCTTTTTGGATGAGAAGGGAAATGTCTTCAAGGAAAACAAAGAAAGTCCAGTTGCCTTTTGAAAAAGCACCTTTGGGATAATTATGATCTGGATGACTGAAAATCTCCATAAACACTGATCAGAATTTCTGTTGCTAAACAGGACAATTAAGTGAATTGTGCTCAATTTTACAACTTTTCTCATGTTGTTCAGCAAATCATTACAGCTGTTAAGAGAATCATGTGGTCACTGGGCAAATCCAATTTGCCCCATTGACTCTCTACTTGTTGGAAACCAGAGGAGACAGTTGCAAATGGTGATCTTGTAACACCAGAGATGCTGAACCAGTGTATATAGCCACCCAAACTTTGATCATGTTATTGTGAGGATGCTCTGATGGTTGTAATAATAGGGACCAGAAGTGTAAGGTATAAGTCATTTTTTTTTCAATGCAATTTTGAATGGTTGCTAAACAAAGTTTTAACTAAGGACTACCTATAGTTCCATTAAGTGGTAGTAAAGCGCAAATAGCCATGAGCAGGGCTTTATAGTTGAGGAATAGGTGCAACTTACCCATGCAACTGAGCAGCTGTTATGAGGCCAGGAGAACCCCCCAGAATGCACAATAAGTCTAAATAAGATAATGTCCGAACCAAAGACAGAAACCCTCCAATACCAGATCTGGAAGATCCAAAACCCATAACTACTCTGTTTTGGCAAGGTTTAACTACAGCCTGTTCTTCTCTATTCAAACATTGGATTTTAGAAGTCTTTAGAATTTACTTCTGGTCAAGTTTATATAGCAATTATGGGTAAGCTACAGTTCCTAATATACTGTTCTATGACCATGTATCATGTTGGAAGGAAAATTGTCGTTAGCAATATAACATATCAAATATTGATAAATAACTGTTTATCCTTGTAATATAGCATTGGAGTTCTTAACCTGAGGCTTATTTCAAAACAGAACCTAAAGTCTATATTAAGTCATAGCTTAATTATGATTTATCAAAAACACTCTTAAGCAATGTACTGAAACAAACAGCTTACCATACTGAGTGGGTTTACGCAAGGCATGCCTTAAATAAAGCACATGTTGGTTTAGCATATGAATGCAGCATGAAACATTCACTACAAGCCAAAGGCAGTATCATTATTAAAATAATTACATTTATATAATGCCTTACAAATTGTAAGAGTTGCAAGAACCCTTCCTTCAATGTGTACGGAGTAAAAAGGGAAGGGACCGCAGATGGCCTTCCTCTTATCAGTTTACACTGCTAGAGGAAGGTCAGAAACGTTTTCAGAATTGCAAATGGAGTCAGATAAAGCTGAAACCGAGAACCAGGGCACCCTCAAAACTTTCTGGGGAAAGCCAACAAACCATAGTCGTTTTTTAAACTTCTAAACAAGAATCCAAGCATATACATATTTCTCCTGCGTTCATAATACAAGCCTCCTGAGATGCCTGGACTACTTAACCGGCAAAAAAAGCAATCAACTCAGAAGTTTGTCCATGAACAAACACAACTCTAATTTGAGTTATTAGCTGATAAAAATCAACAGAAGCCTTGATAATAGTCCTCACGCAAGATCTTTCTATGGAAGGGGACTTTTAAATCGAGCTGTGATGCCAATACAAATCAGTTTTGACTCCTAGTGACAATCAGGATTTTTAAAAAATGGCTTGCCATTGCATGCGTCCTGGGACTGAGAGTGAGTGACTGGCACGAGACTCCTGGTCTGCCTCCCACTTTCTAGACTGGTGCCTTAACTACTGCATCAAACTGGCTTTTATAATATCAGGCTTTAGATGCGGACCTCCACAAAATACGTATTTTCAAGTTTTAAAAAAATTCCTCAGTAGCCTAGTAGGCACCTTTTCCAACAAACAAACTTCACTCGAAGACATACGCTTTTTCCTACTGCGATTCCCCCTGAGTTTTTGCAATTACTGGTTACAAAACCGGTTTCCCACCAACTAGACTTAGAAGTGGCAGAGAAATGGGGACGATGGGGGAGAGAGAGAAAGACGCGAATTTATTCCAAAGAGTCAATAGGAGTACACTGAGATAAAGAAACGCTTTCCAATCCTTACCTAAGTTAAGCCCTTTCTTCTGAAGAGGGTCAGAAGAATCTGAAAAAAAATAAGAGAAGAGTTTAGTAGCGGTAGCAAAAAGAAAGAAAACGCGCTCCAGCTCTTTGCTCCCGTTTCGTCATGTGACCACAAAGCAGGAGCACGTGACCAGGTTTCGCCTCCTCCCTAAAGAGAGTTTGGCGGGGATGGGCGGTTCTTAGTCACCTGGAAATGTTAAAACTACAATCAGAACGTTAAGCTGGGGAAATAAATGCCTGAAACGCGCGGAGACTTCGAATCACCACTACGTGAGGCATTGATTATATGTTACAAAAAGCCGAACGGCTCACAGCAAAAATATACAGTAAACTCGCTTTTCCTTGCTATCCGAGAGTTGTCCGAAGTTTTGTACCCCGAAATTTTCCATTGCCCTTTTGGAAGAGGAATTGGGGAATTTGCTGGCCAGGTTCACATTTTGAGTTAAACTGAGTCACCCACGAATTTTTCGGTTTTGCTTTATTTGTGAAGCAAGCTTTTGTGGACTATAAACTGTGGTTCAAAGCTGAATTCCTTTGGGCACCATTTGGGTTTGCTCAATTAAGGCATGTTTCTACTCAGTTTGTGAATGCGGTTGCCCATCTCCCGGGTAAACGTTTGAAATAGATGACGAACTATTTCAAACTGCGTATTAATAATCAGCACAGGGGATCCCCTGTGATCCCAACGTGTTAAAAAACTTGAGCAATTAGTATTGGCTGTAAGAACAAATTGGTGTTTTCTATAAATACTGATAACAAATATACATAACAATAGAAAATGGCTGTTTTGCTTTAGTGACCATACTCTGAACGCTCCCTCCAAATCAGGAGTGCGCAAGAAATTTGCACTGATCATTTAAAAGTTGTGGAGCTCTCTGAATATTCCAAAGCAGTATAATAGGCCAGAATTACATGCTAAGTCAGATCCCTGTATTTGCCTCTTAGCATACAAGTCTTGCCATCCTTTGTGTGAGGTAGTTCAGGCAACCAAGCCTTACAAAAATAATCGATCTTGGGCTAAATACCAATGCAGTGGCAACAAAGAACTATTAAAAAAACTATTACAGAATTCTGCAACGGTCTTGTCTAGTGATATTCAAAAAACTGTAGCCCAAATATGATAATGGCAATTATGGGAATCTCAATTTGTTCTTCCCAGTCATCACTGTTAGTAAAAGCACAGCCTTTACGACAGGCATTGGCTGAATTTGGCTGAATTTGAGGGGTCGTTAGTAATTAGCTTGGTTGTTTCCTCTCAGATGTTTTATTATTCAAACTAGGTAATATCTTTACCAACAGTGCTATTGGCTGAGTTTCTACAACATCCTCAACCTGTGATGGCGAACCTATGGCGTACCTGCCAGAGGTGGCACGCAGAGCCCTCTGTGGGCACGCACATCACCGCCAGCTGCTCTAAGTTCTGTCACATGTATGTGGGCCAGACAGCTGTTCCATGCACATGTGCACCAACCAGCTACTCTCTTCCAGGTTCTGGCGGATGCATGCGTGCCGGCACCCAGAAGAGAGCAGCTGGCTGGTACGTATACGCTTAACGGAACCCGAAAGGGCAGCTGGCTGACATTCACATGTGCACCAGCCAGCTGCTCTCTTCTGGGTTTTGGTTCTCCGCCGCACATGCGCTCCAGTTTCAGCAAAGGTTAACCATCACCACTGCCCTACGCTGCAATTGGTACTCTATGGGACAAAAACATGATGAGAAACCCAGGTAAGCAAAGCTAGTTTATAGTTCCACGGATTGTGCAAATCCAGAGAACTAGGTTAATGAAAGAATTTGCAAACACAAGAGTAGGCTCTAATAGAGAAAGGCAATACAGGTAGTCCTCACCTTACAGCCATTGATTTAAAGTTACAATAGCACTGCAAAAGTGTGACTTACAACGGCCAGACCTCACACGTACAATAGCCACAATATCCCACAGTCATGTAATCGGAATTTGATTGTTTGGCATCTGGCATGTATTTTTAATATCCTAGGGTCATATGATTGCCATTTACAACTGTCTCAGCCCGCTTCTGGCAAGCAAAGTCAATAGGGAACACTGGATTAATTTTAAAGAGTAGATGCAATGACTCATTAACTGTGGCAAAAAGATCATAAATTAGGTATGGCTCATTTAACAACTACCTTGCTTAACAACAAAAATTCTGATTTGAATTGTCGTAAGTTGAGGACTATCTAGTATCTATTACACTATTCTACAGCTGTAGAAATGAGATTTGAAACATTTACTGTTTCAACAGTTGGCCACTAGGTGGCAGCAGGAGGAATTACAGCAATAGGTTTTGTATTTTAGTCTAAATTAGACTACTTTTAAGCTCTCCTTTGAAATTATTTGTATTTTTTCTGTAGCAGCTAGGCTTTAGGGTGAGTAAATTAGAATCTGGAAATGTTCTATAGCAAAAGTCTTCAAATATTAAGTTAGATAAAGCTTATTAGAAGATCTCACATATTCCTATTCTCAGTCACCATTTTGGCCAGCCTATCCTTGACAAGTAATTGCAATTTCTGTCCCTAAGTGTTATGGCTGCTGTGAGTCATGTCACCAGGCCCAATTTTACAATCTATTTTTCAGGTCATCAAGCAAACGACTTGTTTCCCCAATCGACTTTGCTTGTCAGAAGCTGCCTGGAAATTTGCAAATGGCAATCTCAGGTGCTCCAACCTTCATAACCGCATGCCAGTCACCAAGACAGAGGTGGGTTGCTCCTGGTTCGTCCCAGATTGGGCAAGCTGGTAGTGGTGGTGGTGGGAGGCTCAGCCCACCCGCCCGGACGCTTCTGCACATGCCCAGAAGCATCGTGAGCTCACGAGCAAACCAGTAGTAAAAAAAAAAAAAAATTCACCACTAATCATGTGTCCACAGAACTCCTGGGACTCATTGTCATAAGTCACTTTTTTTTCAGTGCCAGGACACATTCAAATGGTTATTAAACAAATGGTTGTAAGTTGAGGCTTATATGTATTTTTTTACATGTTTATGATTAACTTGCCTATTTACAGATCGCCTTCAACTTACAACCATTTGTTTAATGACCATTCAAAGTTACAGTGACACTGAAAAAAGTAATTTATGACTGTTTTTCACTCTTATGACTATTGCACCATCCCCATGGTCACATAATCAGAATTTGGATGCTTGGCAACTGGCATAATATTTACAAAGTTTGTGGTGTCCTGGGGTCATTCACATAGCTTTATTCTGTGCAGAGAGGAGATGTAAAGGGGGTGGGGGATGTTCTCTCAAAGCCTGTATACCCATCCCTCAGATATTGAGTGGTTTTGTAGATAAAAAACAAACAAACGCTGTACATCACAATTTCGTACAATCCTTTGCCATTTTAGCACAATTATATTTTCACTTCTCATCAAACTTTTCATAGATACCAGGGAAAAGTATGAAATACATATTCATGTTCATAGATCAGTATTGACCATCTGATTTCCTAAGAAATCCTGTTTTGCTTGCAATTTCCTCTTTCTTACTCTTGGCCAGCTGTACATTCTGTCTTTTGCCTTGTTCTATGTTATATTTGGAATGATTTTTATGCTTAGCTAGATTATTTTCGACTTGTGTTAGCGAACATAAAGCTGTTCTGTTGATTGCTATGTCAAATGTTTGTTTGTATTCTTCTCAGAACAGAACATCTTATGACAACCATAGATGCTAAATGGTAGCTTGGAATGTAATGTGAACACATGTATAAACTACAACCCCATTTTTCCATGAGTATTGAACATAGGCCCACACTCTCTTTCTTTGGAAAAGTGAGACCTTCTTCCACAGTTAGACTATGCATTTGCGTTGCTAATTATTGAACCTTTACAGTATTTGTACTGAGCTTTAATTGCTGTATTTTGTTGCTTCTTTTGAGGTGTCTTAGATTTTACACTCATTATTCTCCCAGTAGGTGGAGATATCATTCAGACATGGGTTATCCCAGCCAGTGTCCAATAGGACTGAGTCTACCAAATTGATAAGTCACGCCCTCCGTGCCAGCTTCTCCCAGCTTCGACTCAGTCCGTTTCCTTGGACTGGCTGTGTCTGGTGATCTCTCTGATAGGTTTTACTTCAAAGTTGGATAAATTAGGTAAATTCGTTTTGATTTGATATATTAGCTATTCTAAATTTACTAAATTCGCTATTTGATGCTAGATGTTGTAGGGTGGGACTTGTTCCCTGGCCCTAGCAGCTTCTTTGAGGCGATTGGGCCCATGGGTTCTTCCCTCTGGTCTTTCCTTGCCGCTTGCACACCTCATGTCATTCCTTTGGGGTTGCTGGGCTCCCTGGCTCGTTTGCGGCTGTTTGGCTCCGAGCAAAACCTCTTTTTGCAGCAGCTGCCATCTACAGCCTGCAGTCACTGTTATCATCGTGCTGCCACCCGATTGCTGATTGGAACTGCCGCTTCATTTCTCATCTATTTGGGCTCAGGCTGCTTGGTTTATCGCGCTAATGATTTTGCGGTCTCAAAACAACCAGGAGGTCATCACAAACCAGCTGGCATTGTTGGTTCGCATTTATTGTCCCTCAGGGTTTGAAGGTTCCAGGCGACCATCTTAGACAAGGTTTTCAGCAGGAAAAGTTCCGGCAGCCATTTTGAGACCTCAAAAGGATCTGTCCACCATTTTGACAGCGTTGCAAGAGGTCAGGAGTAGTATGGTGGCTATTGCCTCAGATATGGTTGTTCCTGGTTCTCCTCGGGATTCTTCACCTTCCCCTATGTCACCTGCAGGAGTCAGGATCCACAAAAAGAGTGAGTAGTATGAGGGAAGATGCCCCCAAACCGACCAAGGTGCCCCAGGAGAAGCTTAGCTTACAAGGATAAGACGGTGCTCCGGCCTCAGATCCATGTAAGGCTAAGGCCCACCATTGTGAGGTGCCTAACAGACTTCTTTGATTTCTCCACCCAGGCCTCAAAGCCCTGCTGAGGAACTGTCCACTGACATGGATGGGCAAAATTCCCCCGCCTGCCTCCCTATTGCAGCCTGAGGATGGGGTGGTTGTTCCTGAGGAGGATGGATCACAAGAGGAT